CATGTTATATTGGCCACACTCTTGGCCTTCAGCCATTGCTATCCCCCTCTAATATATTATCTCACAGAAAGGTCCCTTTTCAAAAAAGTCCCCCCCCCACGGGAAAATCCTTAAAAAAGGCCCTGTGCATAGTCCTCATGCTTTTGTGTTCAATGTGTAAAATTACATTTTTAATACATATATAACACGCAGCTTCGCCATTTAGTGAAGGAACTTAGAAGCATAGCTAGGGACATTTTTTTATTTATTTTTTTTTATTTAATATTCGCCCAAATCATTTTATAAAATTAACAATTTAAATAAAAAATATTTACCATAGTAGGGCTAGGAACCTTCTAGAAACCATAAGGCTTTTGTTTAAGGTCCCTAGTTACAATTCAAATAATATAATATTAAAAGTTAATACCAGTCCAATTGTTTTCAAAGGAATTACGGTGATATATTTACAATAAAGTAAAGTGCATGCGTGAAGCTATACTTGAATATAACAACTATTTGGCTTTTCACTTTGTGCTAAGAATTCTACTTATTTAAATTAAATTTGACAGTAGAAAATATATTTTCATTGTCGATTTAAATATTGGAAGAGATTTGCTTATATTGCGTTTATAATTTGTTCTAGTACAACTTTTGTGGAGCAATGATGCGTTAATTCTTGTGTTATAATTATGGATTTCTTTGTTAGTTAAAAAATATTTATTAAAAATTTCTGGAAGATTTTGTAGATGAAAATATCGGAACATAAATAGACTTTTTTTCTGTGTGGTGTTGTGTACTCAGGTGAATATGATGTTTGTGATGTTACTCAGAGTGTATGTCCACACCGGGCGAGTAACATCACAAACATACACTCTGAGTAACATAACAAACATCATATTCACCTGAGTACACAACACCAGCACATATTACTAGATAACATTGGTATCGAAGGAACTAGATTCTGTTCCGAAATATCACTTACTCAAACCGCCCTGACCGCGTAGCTCAGTTGGCAGAGCATTGGGCTAGTATTCCAAAGGTCGTAGGTTCGATTCCCGTGCATATTTTTCAAGCTAACCCGGTGTGGACATACTCTTTGAGTAACATCACAAACATAAATAGACCTGTTAAAAAATCATTCAATTTATACAAGTTTAGTATTTTAAGGTCATTAATTTACAATCTTGTTCTGGTAGGCTGAAGTTTTATTCCTAGAAAATTGATACTTAGTAAACAGCTGATAACTAAGTACAAGCTCTGCACTTTAAGGTGACTCCACGCAGTTTTATAAAAATAAAAATATTGCGATTTTTGACAAGTATTACTTGTTGAGAAATGAAAAGCATCTTACTTATGTAAAACAACGTCTAAAGAGTTTTTCTTCAAAGCAAGGTGGTCGCGAAGAGGTTTAACCAGTGGATGAGTATGGAATCACGACATAAGGGCGTGGGCTCAGGGTGTGATCATCCCAAATTAAGTGTTCAATTACATGCAATTTTGGAATTGGACATATCTTTACTTGGACGAGATTGTTGTTGCACAGTAATAATAAAGGGTTATTAACCGAGAGCGAGTTCTGTACGGGAAAGTATTTGCCTGAGGTTTTCGTACAGACCGAGCGACGAAGGAGCGAGTTCTGTGCGGATAAACCGAAGGCAACTACTTTCCCGTACAGACAGAGCAAAAAGAGGTTAATAAACCGTTTATTATATTGGCTCCTTAAACACATTTTCTGATTTTCATATATTTGTTTGAGCGCTGTAAAGGTATTTTTGAGCTATGTTTCATTTGCTAGTTTTCTTCGTTTAGATTTGGTTTCGTCACCGAATATAATATTGTTTATGGAAAAGCATATTTTAAGGGTATTGGCAACAAAAATTTTTATTGATTTTATTGCTTCATCTGAAGGAGCATGAAAAAATAAGCCGATTGGCCGTTTACTGCTCTATTCTATCTCATCTGGTTCCGAAGTTATACGCAAAAATGTGCAAAATATAAATT